TTGTTTGCCTCTCTAATGAGAAAAAAGATTATATCCTTAAGCTTGTAAAAATGCTTTTGGAGCATGTAATAAGAATATTTTAAAGACGCATAAGTTATTGCTGATAAGTTATGCGCCCAAGGGTGTAACCTAGTGGTTAATGAAGTGGGTAAAACCATGGTAGACCAGGGTTCAAATCCTAACGGAGACAACAAATGCTCGGTGACATCTTCACTTCCATCTAAGCCTTGGCAGCAGACCTGTGCCGACGGAGGTAGCAAGTACCTAGGGGAGTAGTCGAGAGTGCACGCAAGTTGACACGGACATGACCGTTAAGAAAAAAGTTATTGCTGATAAGTTGTTGTGTAAATGGTTTAGATCTGATGAAAACTACACTTGCATTCCTTCATTGACGTGGTGGTATCTCCTTTCTCAGGAATCAAGTACGGCAGAACTCATAATTACCTGCCATTATTGGAAGTAATATTCCCAGGCTAAATATCTCCCTAGGGTCGATTGTCAGTCTAGTGAGTTAGCGGTGAGACTTTCTGTATTCTATTGCATGCATGGCTACTAGGCATGTGTAACTGTGATACCTTTTAGGATTATAGCAAGCTTGGAGCAGAGTGGACTTACGAGGAAGTAGCTGAATGTCTAATTTGAAGTATTTATTTGAAGATAGGCTTCTTGAATACCAATGATTTTCTTCCAAGAATGCAAGTTGTGGAACTTCTAACTTCCGCTAAATGCTTTCTTTACTGAGGAAAAATGACTATGGTAAAAGATAGAAAAAGGGGAAGGATCTTTTCACCTGGTTGATTTGCAAGTAAAAGAGAACAGGAAGTAAGAGGACCTTTCCATTTATGTTCTTAATGCTTTTTTATATTGGGAAAATAGATGTTTTTGTCGTCTCTTTTCCAAAATCTTATGGAAATGATGAGGAAGGATAAATGTAGATAAGTTCGCCCTTTTAACCACTCATACTAAGGATATATGAGCATCTAACTCTTTCCTGTGAGCTCTCGAGGAGCAGGAGGAGTCATCGTTATCAAGATATCTTTTGTGTTTTCCATTGTTCCCAGGGACTGCTTTTGAGGATCTGTTCCCATGCTGCAAACACAAATCCGAACTGGTGGAGCTGGAGAGGAGAGGAGCAGTAGGGTAACAAAGAGGTTTTTGGGAAGGTGGGAGGGAAAATCAAGAGACTGACGAGGCTTTTGTTCTCAGATTGCGTCATGACGATCTTTAAAGGAGAGGTCAAGTAAGGACATGGGCGGTTGTTTGGGGGAAGGTTGAGGGAAGATCTGAATTTCCTGAAGGTAAGGTGAGCAGCGAAAAGGTCGGTATAATGTGCTAACATGGTGGTGTTTTGCGAGATTAATAGGGTTATGGGTTTTCATGGAAAAAGTCAGTTTCACACTTTTATTTGTAGTTTCACCTAATACCCTCTGAGAATTCCCTCTGGGAGTTGACACGTTTTTTAATTGTTAGACTACTTTATTAGGAAAAGGTGCCGTTGGTGGACTATATTCTCTAAGAGTGACATCTGAGGGACCAGGAAGGAAATTAGGGCAGAGTCCATGGACTGTTTTGATAAAAGTTTGCTATTTCCTTATTCCGGAGTGCCACCTTTCGAATGAATGCTTGTTTTTGGGGTGTTCTGAAGTATAATTGATGTTTCTAGTCGAGCATAAAAATGACACGTTTCTCTCTTCCACCGAGCAAGGGATAGGAATACTCCAAACCAGAAGAAAAGAAAATAACCATGTGCTTACACTTGCATGCATGTTTTATGGTACATACATGAACATCTTTCGCACCACTTCATCTACCTGAACAAGATGTCAACCTGGAAGAAGAGAATGCACGTGTGCTTACAGTTGAATGCAGTGGTGGACGCACGTGGTGGCAAGCGGGTTCAACCGAACCCGCTTCTTCAAAAAATAATACTGTGTATATGTATAAATAACGATTAAAGCTGCGTAAATTTTGTATAAGTATTTTATTTGAACCAACTTGACAACTACTGTTTTACGACTTAAGTTATGCACTTCTAAGATTGAACCCACTTGCACGAACCCACTTGCACAAATTCCTGGGTCCGCCACTGGTGTTGCATGCGTTTATTGGTACAACTTTAAATATCCGCTGCCAAGCTTTCTTGTGCGATGTGATAGTTCTTTGTATAAGTGGTTCTTTCTAATAACATGTGATAGTTCTGTGTAGTCTGCTAACACAAACTTGGTTATTCCTATATAAACTGTTTGACCTCATAGCTTCACATAAACAGAGGCGTACATAGGATCTTTTGTAAGCGATGTCAACATTTAAAGAAGTGAACAAATGAACAAATCAATGTCCAAAGTAATTTTAAAAGCACAATTCAGATCATATTAATAAAGCACAATTTATTTATGTTATTACAGCTCTCATGGACGAGTTTTCGTTTCTTGAAATGTATTCATAATTGCCTCATTAGAATAGTACTATGTTTTCGTTATATGTAATGTCCTTGTTTTGCACCGTCTGGGCTAAGGTGCATCCGCCCGGCATATAAACACATTTAACTGTCAAGTGCATGAGTTAGTCACATATTAAATGTTCTCTGAACGAGGGAATATTGTGCAAATCATCTCCCCATATGCATTTACTATATGCCTCTTCTATAATTGTTTCCTAAAAAGACTGGAGCATACTCTCTTTTAGGCTCGCATGTGGCACCCGCGTGTTAAATGTCGCAGTTAATAGTTTCTGTTAGCTATTTTCTGAAGTGCATTTGATTCTGTATTAGTGTGGGCTGCTGATAGGGAAGTGTTAATGTTGGATTTTGTAGATATCACTACAATGTTGCAGACTCTAGGCTCCAACAGCATGTAGACAAGGGAAATGAAGATGGTCTTTACATCAGCTGTGTGGCTTCAGCTGCCAATCTTTGGGCCCTAATCATGGATGCAGGAACTGGTTTCTCGTCCCAGGTTTACGATCTTTCAGCTGTCTTCCTCCATAAGGTTGTCATCTGAATCACCTACAGTTTTTGTCCCTTTACTTCCTCTGCAGGAGAGATTCTTATCTATAACTCATTTTTGCGTTCTTCTTAGGATTGGATAATGGAACAGTGGGAGAAGAACTATTATATCAGCTCAATAGCCGGAGCAGCTAATGGAAGTTCTTTGGTTGTTATGTCCAAAGGTTAGATATTAAAGGAGTATGATCTGATTGATTCACATATCAGGGCTTTAACCTATGTGCAGATAACTGCTGAAAAAGTAGTATCAAGTTATTTTAGACACCACTTAATTGCTTGCCATTGTAGTCATTGCCGCCTACCTAGCACTTTGTAGTCTCCTCAAGGTTGAGGTTACCTATGGTTCATAACTGCTCACCAGAAAATGAGCTCCACTGTCAGACTCCTGGGACAAGGAAAAGCTACAGGAACACTTCTTTTGTGGTCTTCTGTCGAAATTATGTTATCCAGTATTGGTAGAGAATACCCTTGGATTTTCCAAGGCAAAGACCGGAAGGAAAAGGGCATCCCATCACTAGAATGGATGATTGCATGCCAGCCGTCTCATGATAATGGTTGTTGCTTCTACAATTATTATAGATGGTTAACTTTTATCTGGTTTCGGTTGACCCAGAATTCAAAAAAGGATACCAAATTCCTCCTCTTGATGCATATGTTGTTCTCAATGTAATCACCATGTATACCTGCCTGCTTGATGAGCTGTACTTTTATTAGCCGCTGCAATTTGCTTGTTAGGGTTTCACCTGCTGAAGATAGTTGAAGAGAATTTTAGTCCATGTGTCTATAAGCACTCTATTGACTACTCTTGGTGCTTGCTGAAACAGGAACTCCTTATACACAACAGTCTTACAAAGTAAGTGAATCATTTCCTTTTAAATGGATAAATAAAAAGTGGAAAGAAGGTTTCCATGTCACATCCATGACCACTGCTGGCAGCCGGTGGGGCGTGGTGATGTCCAGAAATTCTGGATATTCTGAACAGGTGAGATAGCTTCCATTTGGTGACCACTTCTAATGCATTTCTTGTTTCCCTCCAAATAGAAGAAGCTTAAAATAGATGATTCCATGCAGGTTGTAGAGCTTGATTTTCTCTACCCAAGTGAAGGAATACATCGACGATGGGAAAGTGGTTATCGAATAACTTCTATGGCTGCTACTGCTGATCAAGCAGCCTTCATATTGAGCGTACCAAGGCGTAAAATGATTGATGAGACTCAAGAGACCTTGCGGACATCTGCCTTCCCAAGCACCCATGTAAAGGTGATCAGTCTCTCTCATAATCAGGTGTTTCCTTTGCATGTTGCATTTTCCTTAACTGGAGGAATAAACAGTAGTTATTCTCCTCCTGTTCTTCCAAATCTTCACAAAGGGATAACTTGATCAAGACTGTCTTATTGGCTTGTTTTACTTTTTCTCTACTCCCACGTCAAATCATAGGCTCTCATATTTCTGTAATTGCTAAATCATCAAATGCACTGAAGTTTGTGGAATATGTTTTACATAGTATGCAGGTAAGCTTTTCGTTCTTCCCTGTTTCTGGTTGCTTATTGCTTGCATTCATTTCTCAGGAAAAATGGTCCAAGAATCTTTACATTGCATCCATCTGTTATGGTCGAACTGTCTGTTGAGGATGTTGGTCGCCGTGATCTCAATGTTTCTGAAGAGTTATGGAGGATGAATTCATCTGGTCAAAGCTGGATTGCATCTGTAGCCAGTCCTCATTTTTCGTGTGTAAACTATGTTTTGTACGACCGCATACTGGAAAATAGGAGAAACAAACACTACTTGAAAACATGCAGAATCAAGGCCTGAAAGCAGGCTGGAGCACCAATTGGGTGGGTGACCAAAATTTACTAGTTTTGGCAGTTAAGGCTTCCAACATTTGCAATTTTTGTACCTCAAATTAAAAGGGTCCATTTATTCCATAATATTATTGATTCTTGCTGCCATGTGGGTGCATCTACTCTAAATATTTCGACTAGGGCGCTGCTGCTGGATGGCTGAGAGATATAGTTCTCGCGTAACTGGATGTTTTTCTAGGTCTACTACAATGGTGAGTTTTTGAATGTACTATTTTGACGAGAACCAAATTGCGCGACTTCTGCGATACTAGCACATCCAGATATCAATAGTTCACGATGCAAGTCAAGAAACCATAAAATTGCAGGCTGTGTTTTAAAGCATAAGCAGGGGAGTTCCGGTGTAATCCAATGGTCTCAAGTCGAAACCAAATTAGCGTATAACAACAGTTGTTATGACTCAGTTCCAAACTAGTTGGCTTCATGTTTTATAATACTTTAACAACAAAACATCTCACGAGGTGGCAGATTCATGAGCCGAACATTGAAAAACAGAGAACGACTGAAAGTTGAGATGATCATTTCAATCTCCTCCCGGGACGCACTAGATATACTCCGCTGCTAAGTGTTAGGAGAATTAAAATATTGAGAAAAAAAAAAAAGAATATTTGAAGTTGATAGTAAGATAGAGTATTTGGAAAATTTTGTAATTCTAAGTGGAAAAGAAGTCTTTTTGTTGACGGAATATGTTAACAGACACCTTTACTTGCACCGTTTTGACATGCTGATTTTCCTACTTCATGTAGTTTCATCCAGATATTTGAACTTGCTTAAAACTAATTTTTAAACCCCTCTGACCGTTGATTGAGCTCATGGGCATTTGTTTTACTGAATCAGAATAATAAATTGTTACACGCTCTAAAAAAGGGAGTGGATGTATTAATTTTGATTAAAAAAATATAAAAAATCATTAAAAAATGTATCCAACCCAAGTAGATCCCTTCCCCTTCGGGTATATCTGCCCTGAACCCCTTCCTTGTCTCCCGTTTTCCCCATTTTTTTCACCCCCACCTTGCTCCCTACCTCCTTATTAGGTTTTGTGGATACTCAACAAGAAAACTTAAAAGTATAGTATTAGAAGGAGAAGAATTTTCTTTAAGGGCATTGAAATAAATAGATCTCTTAATGGGGTTATATTTTGAAACATATCAAGAAGCTATGAAAATGCAAAGTAATTTTTTCGGTAGTTTTTTCTACGACCATGTCCATGGCGTTCATGGGTTTTCCAAAGGAGTCTGGTGATTGAGATGTGGTGGAGTCCGCTAGTGGCCATTTTCCAGCGATGGTCTGGTTTTTCTTTGTGGTAGTCAATGGTAAGATACTTCCAATGATGTAGTTCCATGATCCGGTGGATGGGGATTACGAGCCACTTACTACGTATTTTCCCGATGAAGAAGTATTCTTTGCTGGAGAAGATATTGCCGAATCGTACCCCGGATGGAGAATATTTTTTGATGGAGCAACAAACTTCAAAAGAGTCGGAATTGGGGCAGTCCCGATTTCGGAATCTGGACAGCACTATCCAACATCGGCAAAGATAAGATTTCCTTGTACCAATAATATAGCTGAATATGAAGCGTGCAACTTTGGGATCAGAATGGCAGTCGACAAGAACATCAAGAACTTTTGGTCATAGGGGATTTCGATCTATTGATACACCAAGTTCAAGGGGAATGGTCCACCAAGAATGTCAAGATACTTCCGTACCTGCACTACTTGAAGGAGCTATGCAGGAAGTTCATGAAGATTGAGTTCAAGCACATCCCCAGCATTCAGAACAAGTTCGCTAACGCCCTTGCAACCCTATCATCTATGATTCAGCATCCAGACAAGAACTACATCGACCCCATCAAGGTCGAGATCAGGGATCAACATTCCTATTGCTTCCACGTAGATGAAGAACCAGATGGTAAACCATGGTATCACGACATCAGGAAATTCCTTGCAACCAGAGAATAATCGAAGAATGCTATTGATGATCAAAAGCGAGCCCACACGAGGCGAGAAAACCATTTTTCCTTAACGGGGAAGTCCTGTATAGGAGGTCCCTGGATTTAGGTTTGTTTAGATCTATAGACGTTGCTGAGGCAACTAGGTTATTGCAAGAAATACATGCAGGAATATGCGAACCCCACATGAATGGGTGCATATTAGCCAAGAAGATCTTGAGAGCTGGATACTTTTGGATGACTATGGAAAGCGACAGTATCCGCTACGTACAGAAGTGTCACCAGTTCCAGATTCACGAGGATTTCATCCGGGTTCCGCCAAATAAGTTAAACGTAATGGGTTCACCCTGGTCATTCGCCGCCGGGTCATGGATGTGATTAGACTTATAGAACATACCGCATCAAACGAACATCGCTTCATCTTGTTAGCTATTGACTATTTCACTAAATGGGTCGAAGCGTCTACTTACAAGGTCGTCACAAAGAAAGTAGTGGCAGATTTCATCCAAAACAACATCATATGTAGATTTGGAATACCGGAGTCTATCATTACTGACAATACCGCTAACCTCAACAGCGACCTCATGATAGAAATTTGCAAGAAGTTCAGAATCATCCACCACAATTCCACAGCCTACAGACCACAAATGAATGGGGCTGTCGAGGCAGCAACAATAATTTCAAGAGGATTCTACGAAAGATAGTGGACAATCACTGGCAATGGCACGAGAAACTATCTTTCGCCTTACTGGTTATTGTACCACCATGAGAACATCTACTGGGGAAACCCCGTATATGCGGGTATACGGCACTAAACTTGTAATACCCCGCAGAGGTCAAAATATCGTCATTAAGGGTCATTCAAGAGGCAAAATTGGACGACGCAGAGATGATATGGGTCAGACAGGAGCAACTCATGTTCATCGACGAGAAGAGAATGGATACAGTATGTCATGGTCAGCTATATTAAAACAGGATGTCCAGTGCATTTAATAAGAGAGTGAAGCCTCGCCAGTTCGCACCGGGGCAGTTGGTCTTAAAGAAAATCTTTCCCCACCAAGAGGAAGCCAAAGGAAAGTTCGTACCAATTTGGCAAAGTCCTTACGTGGTTCACTAAGCACTGTCGGGTGGAGCTCTAATTTTGGAAAAAATGGATGGAAGAATCAACACAAAGCCCATCAACTCAGACGCAATCAAGAGATACTATGTTTGAAGACAAATAAAGTTAGGTTTTGCTGTAACAAAGCTACATTCAACCTGATTTCCCATGGAGGGATACGTAGACAACCCATGTAGGGTTCGATTTCTCCCCCCCCCCTCCCTTTTGTAATAGAAAAACCAAATATCACTTTTGTATGTTGCTCAGGAACTATGCCGACTTGATTTCATTAGAAAGGAATACATAGGCAATCCTCATCAGATTCAGTCGTCTTTTGTAATTAAAGTACATCCTAGCCGGATTCCATTTGGATACGTGAGCAGTTTAAGTCAGACTCGACCTTTTTCATTCTTAATATCATCATTTTGCATCTGTTGTAATTGAACTATATTTTGACCTGATTCCATTTGGATATGTAGGCTGCATGAGTCACGCTCGCTCATCTTCATCATATTTTATCATAATCCACAAACTACGTTCAAACCTGATTCCATTTTGGATACCTAGGTAACCTGAAAGGGTTCGGTCATAACCTTAGGAAAACCTTTTTAATGCATTAGTTCGAATTATGACACAGTCATAACGACAAGCAGCCGCGTTTTCTGAAGCATCATGGAATATCAACATCAACATGACAAAGTTTTCAAGAATATACGCTCACGTGTGGAGAAATTTTTGTAACATGTCACAATTTGGAACGACGGCATTTGACTTAAAAAATAAAGTATTTTCAAAATGTAATCTGAAAAATACAGTAATCTATTCCACCTACCGAACTTCACAACGCAACTATATCAAAGGCTGGGGCAAACCAACACTGTGGTCGACACAAACCAACTTCCCCGGCCCTACTAAAATTTTTTCTTTGAGTGCAGGATCAACAGGGAGCAAGGAAGCACTAAGACCACACACTAGGGCAAACAACGGATCCGCCACTTGCCTAAGATTATCTCTCTTTATCCTTTACTTGAATTTTTCTGGTACGGCTAGGGCTAATATTTGAATCCTGTGCAGGTACCTCGGAATCAGACCGGTGATACGGAAAAAAAACTGTATATAGCAAACTGCCAGCTCAACAATCGGAGCACCTTGTATAAAATGGATCGCTGACTTCATCAATGGAAGACTTTTATCTAGCAAAATGCCTACTCAACTAATCGGAGCACCTTGTACAAACGAGCCATCGACTTCACCAATTGAAGTTATGTATATAGCAAAACGTCAGCTCAATCGATCGGAGCGCCCTGTACAAATCGATCGTCGGCTTCGCCAATCGAAGCCTTGTATATAGCAAACTGTTCATCTCGCCAACAGAAAAATCTGCATCGCCACTCCATCGCAAGTGGATGACAGAATAGACAGTCGCAAACCTCGTCACCGACGTTCTGCCAATCGATAGCCGCAACTTAGCTTTGCAGCCAAGAGTATCTCTTGGGCTTCCTTTGCTAGTACTTTGAATGTTTTGACGTTTTGCTCATGCAGCTTCAGGCATGATTATGGTTTTAATCAATCACTCCCAGGCGGAGATTACTTTACATTTCAGTGTAAAGCTCTCCCAACAAATAGAGACGCACTCTACAAATCAAGCTTTCCCAACAAGTGGAGACATTTCTCAATGCAAAGCTCTCCCAACAAGCAGAGATGCACTCTACAAATCAAGCTCTCCCAACAAGCGGAGAAAATTTTCAAATGCTTTGACAGCTGCTGAACGGTACACAACCCGACTAACAAATCAAAGCAAGTCAAGATCAAGTATCCCATCATCCCGATCCCGAATAACGACTCATCAGCAGCCAGGCATCATCATTCCTAAATCATTTGCATCACATCTTAATATATTCCTAATTGCAATAAATTGGTATGCATATATTCATTTATTTTGCAGGAACAAACATCGCATCGTCGAACTCTTTCTAAGAAGCAGACCAAACTACAATGCTATGAGGGACAACAAACACATTAGCAGGCCAATGATCCAAGTTCAAGCACAAAATGAGCAGTGAAACTCAAAATTTTCAAATCCTTCAAATCAAGCTGCAAAATTTAAGTTATCATGAGTATACAATCCTTCATCTCGCCACATCATCATAATACAATATTGGGGCAATTCATACGAGTATCAATTCCTCAAAAAATTTTCACTCCAGAACTATATGAGGTCTCATCCTCGTTAAGCTCGAGGTATGTAAGCAGATCAAAGCCAGAATTTGGCCCCAATATCTCCAACATTCTTCCCAAAATCCTCCCAGATTCTTCCTTAACTCTCAATCCCGTAGCTTATAATCTCCATGTTACTCTTGCAATGCATGCCTAAAGTCGAGACAAAATTGGCTTTGCTGCAATTTCTTTGCCCGAAAATTCTTTCATCGTCTCCAGTCAAAGATGGGCAGCTGTTGATGACCAATTTTGACCCTCCCTTTTAAAATTAATTTACTTATACTTAATAATTTACAATAAATATTTTGAAAGTATTTTATAGTAATAAATACCTATTTCTACAAATTACTAATTATTAATTTTGAAGTTAATCACNTATGTTAATAGTTTGGAATTAATGCTATAATTCAAAAATGAAGTCTTTATAAATATTTAATTACAATAGTTAGTAATATATATAATAATTATAATTTTAACATATTTTATTTAAAATTATTAAGCTTATTTAATTTAATTATAAAGGGATCAAAAGAGGCTAAAGGCTATAATTGCAATTCTCTATTAAACACAAATTTGCCATTCTTTAAATCAAAACCAACTCAATACCCAAGCTCAATCTGGAATTAACTCAGTCCAAACAACCCCTCCCATCCACTCTGACGATCCTTGCCATCACATTTGAACCAATCATAACGTGCCATGTCATCGTTTTCAATCACTTATATAACAAACACAACTGATCCAAGCCGTCCATCCCAAAGATCACCAGCTTTGAATTTGTCTCCATTTTCCTTTAATTTTAATAGCCCAAGTGAGCTTAATCTTTGCCGTTGAAACCAAGGGATCTAACGACTCTCAAATTTCGCCCATAAACACGTTTAATCTCAAATTATCAGGACCGTTTATCTGAAAAATCAACAGCCCAGATTTGATCTCCTAAGTTTAACCTAGAGACATCCCCCCTCCCCAAAATCTCTAAAACCCTAGAATCATTTCCTATTGACTTCACCCTTCTCTTTCCTTTTCCTCTCTAAACTCTCTCGACCTGCCATAAAGGAATCAACCACAAACCTAGCACAAATTTGTGCAAGGCCACAAATCTTGACCTAGAATCATTCCTTATGCTTCCTTATCCATGATTCTTGTCGTTGATGTCCTATTTTGTCCTAGAGATTCAAAATCTCTAGTCTTCTAACCCAAACACAAAGATGAAAACTCAGGTCCTCAAATTTTCGTATGCTGCAACCAAATAAGAGCACACATGAGATTCTCATGATGATTCTTCTGAATCAGAGGTCAAATGCAATGACCTCTGGACCTCTGATCCTTATTGGATTCTTCACTTGTAACGGTTGTCGTGCACTTAGGTAAGAGTCTCATTCATTTTTCCCTCACACTCATTCAGATTCACTCCGATTCACTCTAATTTTACCCTCTTTGCTATCATCATCGTCTCATAGTCATCTTCCACTATCATTTTGAATCTTGTTGAACCCTGGAGTCATTGAATGCCACTATAAAAGGAGCCTTCAATGCTCTCACCTACAAGACCAGAACTAATGCAAAAACAAAGTAACCCTAAAATTTTAATAAAATTTGGGTTTCCTTACTGATTCTGATTTTCTCTCTTTGTTTCTGAGTGCTTTTACTGCTCAAGCTTGAAGTTTTGTGTTCTATGCAATTAGAAAAAATCTCTATTTGGTCTGTTGACCTAGAGAACGTTAGTAAACCTCCAACTTTTCTCTTTTGATTGTTTTATTCAAGTATCACGAACATGTTGTTATCTTTTTATTGATTGTGCTCGTTTATGATGTTCGTCATCAGTGTGTAGATGTTATTTTCAGTTCATAATATGTGTTGTTAATTTGTGGTTATTTTCCATACTTTTGAATATCTTTAATTGGTATTGATTAAGTTGCTATGTGACCTTAATGACTTTCATTCTGATTTCAAATAGAACATGATTAAGTTTCTTTAATGTGCCTTAATGACTTCTTACGCTTTCCTAGA